TTAAATAAGCACGGATAAATTATTATAAATTAATGTAGGTAGATTCTACTGAAGTGACTGTAGGTAGAAGAATTAATGAATTAATGAATGGTTGATCGTAAACATTAATTGCCTGATTTTAATGTTTATTTCAACACCTTCTGGGGGGTAAATTGGTAGGACTGGTAATTTTAATCAATTATCTGTATAACTTCAAACCGTTTTCCATGCTCAAACCTATCTATTGATCAAACAGTAAAGGAATCTACCTTTTTACAGTTTGATGTGGAGGAATCTACCTTTTTTGAAGTTGTTTGTTATAGTAATCAACCTAATTAAAGTCTCGCAGGGAAAAATTAATACTTATGCTATATATATACTATAAGCTGGAAGAACCTTTTTATTTTACCCAGTAAAGGAATCTACTTTCCTAGAGTCTCTAGTGAAGGAATCTACTGCCAAAATAGTCTTAGCGGAGGAATTTACTTTCCAGCAATGTCTAGCGGAGGAATTTAACCTCCTTCAGTCTCCAGTGGAGGAATCTAAATTCTACAGTATCTAGTGAAGGAATCTAATTTCTACAGTCTCTATTGGAGGAATCTACCTTTCTACGGTCTCTAGTGGAGGAATCTACCTTCCTACGGTCTCTAGTGGAGGAATCTACCTTCCTACAGTCTATAGTGGAGAAATCTACCTTCCTACGGACTCTAGTGGAGGAATCTAATTTTCTACAGTAATCAGAGGGAAGCTTACATGAAGAAATCTAGAAATCTATTTAGAAATCATCGAATAATACAACGGAATGAAGTCTTTGCCACAAAAATGAAAAATGAATATCTGTGCAAATATATTTATATTTTAAAATTATATGATTTGATCTTACAAAATTTACAGTTTGAAACAAAGGGTTGCAAAGATACAGGGAATATAAAATCAGAGTTTGAGACAAAGACTCAATTCCTTTCGACAAAAAATATATTCTCACTTCCAAATCCGTATGAGAAACCTAAATTTCCTAGCGCATATTTGTGTTGAGTACTAATATATATTTCTACTGTTCAGAGTTCCAACTGTGCCCAAGTTAAAACAATATTTATTTCAGATTTGAAGGTTAGAAATATAAAAGCTTTGTACTCGATGTATGCATTTATATATCTTCTAGAATAAATATAACTAGCGCTCAGCAAATATCTTCTAGTAGAAATATGAATTTATATAGGAAAAGTGAAAACTATGATTTCGAAGGGAATGTTAAAAAAGCATCGTACGTAAAACTAACTACACATATCTTTAGTCATTATTTGATTTCTAAATTAAATTCGTCGACAATTGCGTTTAGACTTTATATATTTTAATATGAATAATATCTAGACCAACAAACATGTAAAAAGTAGCAAAAATGAACTGTATTCATTTAATGGAGGGGCGCCTAGAAAATCA